CCCATTGCTGGCCACAGCAGTTACCCCAAAATTGTGTCCACACAGCTCTTGTCCCTGCACCCACCACCACAGCCCCCGCACCCACACAGCCAGCTGCCTTCTCCTCCACTACCCCTGCTGCTGACTCTCCCACCCTCTTCTCTGCCCCTTTCCCCTCCCCCAGCTCACTGGCCTGGGGCTGGAAACAGAGAGGAAGGTGGTCGGACAAGAGACATCACCTTCCCCCCTCCACCATCTCCATGGGAACAGGCTTGGGGTCAGTGCTGGGAGGGGCCGGTCTGTGCTGAGGAGGGAGTCGCTGGGTTCCATCTTCACAACAGCCTGGGGTCACATTCTGAGATCAACCCCCAGCAGTGGATTTAGGGGGTGCGGTGAAGACCCCCCCAAATAGAGTGCAGGCTGCTCTGCAGTCACCCTGGTGCTCTATCCAGATGAGAAGAGCAAAGGGAGCTGATTGGAGAATGTCTCCCATTGACTCCGCATGGTGCATACCCCCACCCAGGGCAGCGGGAGGGGAGAGTCTCAGCTGGCCGCACTGCCATTCCCTCAGGCCTGGGCCAGAATTGGCCAGATGGTCAGGGGAGCTGCATTTGCACCATTATCACTGTAACCAGTGTAGAAATAGGGGCGCAGCGTCCCGGAGAAGGTGTCGGTGAAGGTGAAGAGATGGGACCTGTCAGTCACATTGTAAAACGAGACCTCGCCTGCCTGGTAGTCCAGGAAAACCCCCACCCGGCTGGGCCTGGCGCTCACGGGGAGGAGGGTGGAGGGGGAGGTGCTGGCCTCGTATTCCCCATCCCTCAGCAACATGACCCAGTATCCATTCCTAGGTGAATTTTCACTCTCCCCCTTCCTGCTCACAGATTCCCTGCAGACCCCCAGTTCCCACTCAGGCTTGTCTCCCACCTCCACCTCCCAGTAATGCCTCCCGCCCGCGAACCCCTCGGCACCCAGAACTTCAGGGTAAGTAACAAATCTCTCGGGGGTGTTGGGCAGAGCCTGGCGCCTGTTTCTGTGTCTCACACTTTTCCGATCCTCAGACAGGACGAGGTAGCGATTTGCCGTGTCTGGATCCAGAGTCACGTCCACTGGGGAGAGAGTCACAGAGTCATTACGGGGGCAGGGGCTGGTCCCTGGGCTCAGAGGGAGATTAACCTGCCTCCCCGTTAATTTCTGGGGTGGGGGTGTCTGAGGAGAGTCAGGGCCCCTCTGCCTGTGAGGAGACAATGAGGGGAAGAGCAGGAAAGGTGGGGGCAGGGTGGGAAGGAGACAGTGTGGGGGGGAGGGAACAGGCTGATGCTGAGAGAGTGGGGAAGGGAAGGGCAGAGGGGAGAGGCAGGCACAAGTACAATGGGAGGCAAGAGGAGTTGGCTCCATGAGGAAAGAGGAGGGTGAAGGGGGCGAGGGAAGGGGCAGGCACTGGGGAGAAGAAAGGGACAGACCGCACAGGCACAGGGAAGCCAGGGGAAGGTCAGACACTGAGGGGCTAAGGGGTGAGAGGCAATGGGGGGAGCTCCAGTGGGGCAAAGGGAACCAAGGGGAGGGATGGGGTAGGTTGCAAGGGGCAGAGTGGGCGATAGATAGGGGAGGGGGACAGGCTGATGCTGGGGAGGAAAGGGGAGGGGCAGGTGACAGGAACAGAAAGGGGCCATGGGGCCCAAGAGGAGCAGCACCATAAGGGCTGTGATGGGTGAAGGGATGGTGGGTTCCTAGACCCACTCCCCTGGAGGGTGTAACTGCCCCTGAATTTCCTCAGAAACCCCCCGCCCCCCCATTACAGGCAGCGTTGCCTATTTAGAACACACACAGCCCGTGGGAAAACACCTGTGGCTGAGAGCGCAGGGCGGGTGTGACAGCAGGGCCCAGATGATCTCTCCCGGCTGCTGTCTGTGCCGGTGTCACTGGGGCTGGTCTGGCTGCCCTGGACAATCGGCTCGTTTCCTGCTGGTTTGGAAGCAGGGTCTGCATGAGATCCCCTGACAGCCGGGTAGGGGAGGTGCCAGGTTCAGCCTGTGTTGCCAGGGACACGCCTGCCCTGCCTGGGGCCCACCCCACAGAGCTGGGCTGCCCGGGGCTGGGCATAAACCACTGAGGTGCCATGTGGGGTCAGGAAATGTTGGGACCCTTTTAGTGTCTGAGTGACGGGCAGCAGCAGAGCTGGCCTGGGCCCGCCTGGGGGAGGGGACCCACCCTCCAGCGTCTCATTTTTGCAAGGGTTTGCCAGGGCTGAGCCCCGGCCCATCTGGACCAAGTGGTTCCCAGCTCTGCCCCAGGGTTCTTGCTGCATCAGTTCGGAAAATAACAAACGTGCTGGTGCCCGGCTCCTCTCCCCTGACACGTTAAGCCCTGGCCACCCCCGGCCACCCTGTGCTGGGGAGGCGGGGGGAGAGGTTCAGCCCCACCATCTACCCAGCCGTGTTTAATGCTGCAGGACAAACCCCACCAGCTGGTGTCCATCATGCCGGCTCTGTGGCTCGCCAAGGAGGCCGACAGCAGCACAGCCCAGACACCCTCCAGCCCGTGGGACATTCGCTCTCCCAAACGGGTGTCTGGCCAGGAACCCAGCACACTGCATGGAGGAGGGTCAGAGGGAGAGGCCAGCCAGGGGTTTCAGACGCCTTATCTGTGATACCTGAGCCCACCCCAGACTCACAGTTTGGCCATCTGGGGCACTGGAGCAGCCTGAAAGGACTTCACTGAGAAATGATGCAGCCAGCAGCACTAGGGCACAGCTGGCTCTGGGCCAGAGCTCTGGAGCAGAAGGTAAATGGGATTCAGCATTTCTGAGGGTCCCAGAAGCGGGGTATGACAGGAGCTTGGACTGGGCTAGTGAACAGCTCTGCCTTGTGCAGGCCCAGGTGCCAGGTTCTTACTGGACCTGCCCAAGCAAGAGGAGCAGCCCAGTGACCCAGTGACAAGCTACGGGGGCCACTGGCAGAGCAGGACAGAAGCCCCCAGCTCCCGGAATGAAACAGCTCGATGTCCCAGGGGCTCCACTCACCTGCAAATCTGTTCAGAGCTTCCCTCAGATCAAGACAAATTTTATACCCATCCTGCAGGTCAGTAGAAACGGGTTCGGGTCCCTGGAGCTTCATGTTTTCACTCCTAGGAAGCAAATGTCCCAGCATCAGCAGCTGCTCTGCACCGGCATCGCCGCAGAGCCCCCACCAGGAATAGGAGGGCAGCGAAAATGGGACACGCACCTGCTCAACGTGCTTTTCACGTCCTGAAAGGAGAAAGAGAATCGATGCTCTGTATTAGCACCGGGGGCATGAAATGGAGCATTTTCCATTCCGGGCACCAACTTTTCATGTAGAAAATAGATTAACACTTTTGGGCTTCATTGGTTTGATGGGAAAATCTCCTCCACCATTTTGCATTAGCACTTGTTTCACTTGTGTAAGTGAGGCAGGAATTTAGCTCAGTAGCTTTCCTTCCTAGGGACCCAGCCCATCCGTATCTGTGTTTAGCAACTGTGTTGAGCCCAATGCTCTGGACTCACAGCAGGGATGGGTTTAGCCCCGTATCATTTTGCATCATCCATTTAATTTCCCATCACCTCCCTGGATCTCCATGATCAGAATTCCCCTCCCACACGAGCTGTAATGTTTGGAGCTGATGGAGCCCTTGGCCGGATATTGCCTGTGAGCACCGCACATAGAACATTTACTCGCACTCCTGGGCTCCAAACCCATGGATCTGAGCTGTAATTCTGGCTGGGGGCAGAGTTTTGACGCCGTCTCACCTTCAGCAGCTCAGCAACCGGCTGCTGACACTTCCCCTCGATCTCTGCGATCAGCTGCTGCAGGGACGAGCTTTGCTGGGAGAGTTTGGAGACATTTTCCTGTAGCCACTGCAGAGTCTCCCTTTCCTCCTCCGCCAGCCTCTGCAGAAGCAGCTGCTCTTCCTCCTTCAGCAGCGTGTGCAGCTTGTTAAATTCACCAGCAATCGTCACTCGCTTTGCCTGCACTGTCCTCTGGAGAAAGGAAAAGAGAGGAAACCACAGGCCAGATGCCCATGAAGCAGGGAGAATCAGATCTGTGAGAGGTTGTACGGATAATTACTTCTTTGGGAAACACACCAGGAGGTTTCAACGAGGTAGCTGTGTCAGGCTGCTTCAGCAAACACAGCAAGGAGTCCAGATTCTTTGTTGTTTGTATCATAAAGGGCTGGTTTTAGCTCAGAGTGAAAGGGTTTACACAGTTCTGCAGCTGGGTTGTCCAGGGGGCTAGGTAAAGCCACCGTCTGTTATTGCAGGTGGCATGGGATGGCCAGAGGGAGAGGGAAGAAATTGAGGGAACAGGAGACTGCACAGGGCATCTGTGGGGAAGGAGAGTTGGGTGCACAGGGCTGGGCACTCACACACCAAGTGGACCCGTGTCAGCAGGATATGGGCAATGCTCATTCTTGACAACAGGCTCCCAGGGCTGCCATGTTCAGGACGTGGGGCTGGTGCCAATAGCTCTTTGGGTGTGGTCCAGGGGCTCACATGGGTGTTGGGCCTTTGCAGCATTGCCAGGGTTGGCTTTGGCCTCACCCAACCCAGCCATGTGCCCTGTGCCCATGTGTCCAGCAACCAGCCAGTGTCCTCCTCACACCCTACACCCACAGCGGGGCTCTCCCTGTAACAGGCCGGGGAACCAGAACAGACGTTCATGCGCTGGCTACAGACAAGGCCAGGGAAGGTCACAGGAGCAGCAGCAGGTGACTGGGATGAGGGGTCCACACGATGGCAGCAGAGGCTGGGACCCGACCTGTTCTGGTCACTCGGGAGCGGTGGGGGGGAAAGAGAAGGGAAGAGGGTCCCACTGCAGTGGCCTTGATCTGCTAGAGTAGGTTCACAGACTTGTCCTGGCTCTTTCTGGCTCCTTCACCCCTGGAGGTCCTGCCGGGGGAAGAGCTTGGGGAGAGAAACCCAGACACCCACCTGCCACTCTGTGGTTTGTTCCTTCTCTTTAGATGTCAGCGCCTCGGCCTTCTTCAGCTGCTTCCTGAGCAGGCCCAGGGCCCCCTGGAGTTTCTCCTGCAGGGCACAAACAGCCAATGGGCAGCGAGCGCCGTACACACCGGCCGTACACACACAAGTGGGGACCCAGCCTGGAAGGAGGCAGCCACTCGGCTCTGCCATCCCCAAAGGCACCGTGGGAGCAGAGATACCCGGCTCTGAGCAGGGGCTCTGCTTCCTGCAGCCACTCGGGGCAACTCCACCCCCGTGTGTTAGCTCAGGTGCCACATCCCTGCACGTGGGCCAGAGGGGAAATGGCTGAGGAGCCCCTGAACAGTCCCTCCAGCTGGTGGGTGCGAGGAGCTGGGGAAGGAACATCGCTGCACCGCATCCTGGACCTGGATCCAGACCCGGGCCAGGAACCAAATCTCCACTCTGCTCTCCCCATGCCCAGGCTCCCAGGGGGCCTCCCTCACAGCAAAGGCCTCTCACCAGTGCAGCCTCATGACCTGTGCAGGGCGGCGCTGTGATGGGGCTGGAGACAGGTGAGGGACAAGGGAGCCCTGGGTCCGGGGGAGCAGACATCTGTAACTGTGACTGCTCCTGGGTTGTGGTAACCCGTGTTCTCGCCCCCTTGGGCGGCCCGCGATTCATTCGCCCAGCGCAGCACCGTGCCAAGCGAGTGCTGCAAAATCCCCGTTAACCAGTGAAACGTCCAGTTAACCTAACACTTGGCCAGTTAACTGGACTACGCGGGACCTCACTGCTGGCTCCGGCCCCCGCACCCACTGGGGACAGAGGCTGCTCCAGCTGGGACACTGAGGACGTCCCTGCTCCAACTCTGCTGCACCATGATCTTCTGGATAGCTGTGTCCAGAGTCACCGCGGTAGCAGAGTGACTCCGGCCACGGTTACTACACTTCTCTGTACCATGGAAAAGGGGGCGGCCCTGGCTAAGAGAGGGTGACAGGGCAGAGTAGGCTGCCGGGCCACTTCAGATCCCACCAGCACAGGGACAGCGGGAATGGCGGCCGACCCCTGCTGTTGCCCCACATCAGACCACCCAGTGCCACCTGGCTCATGTCAGAGGACAATGGGGCAGAGCAGGAGTTGGGATTGGGGAGGAGGGATGGAGCAGATGTAGGGTGCAGCTGAGGGGCAGGAGGGGTTGTCCTAGATCCCATGCCCCCTTGGGGACAGCCCTGGCTGTAGAGTCAGCACTGATATAATTAGGTTGATGTGAGCTGCCCATGTCGCCCTAACACTACAGTGTGAGCCAAGCCCCAGAACCCACCCTGCAGAGCCTGGTCCCTACCTTGTACTCCTGGGCAGCCTCCTCAATGGGCGCCACCATGTGCGTGCGGTGCGCCCGGGACTCTCTGCAGATCATGCAGATGGGGACTTGATCCTCCTGGCAGAAGAGCTTCAGGGTCTCCTGGTGCTTCTCGCACCCTGGCTGAGCCTCGGGCGCTGGCCCCGCCGGGAGCCGCAGGCGGTTCACCAGC